CACTTCCTGAGGCGCAATGCCCTAGATACTGCCCTGGCTGCACCCCAGCCTCCCAACGGGCTGTGGAGGTTGAGGTGAAGTGGACAAAACCAGGCCTCAATACCATCAGCCCCAGGCAGCCATCACTGACTTGTGTCTTTCTGTCCACCAGGACTTCTGCTCACCGTCCCCTTTGCACTCTGCCCCATCTCCACCATGGGTCTGGAACCGTGACCCTTCCTGGAGCCTGCACTTAGACATGAGCACCTGTGTGAAGTCTGTTCTCAGTCTCCCCGGTCAGGAGAAGATCATCTGGACTTGGAAGCTGGGGAAGGGAGATTCTGAGCCCACAGGGGGTAGGCCATTATGAATTGGACAATCATCTGGTCTACTATGCCAGGAATGACAAATTGAAGAGGAATGGCATCACAGTCATCATCAAAAAGAACATTTTAAGATCTGTCCTGAAGTACAGTTTTGTCAGTGATAGGATAATATCCACATGCCTACAAGGAAGACCAGTTAATACTACTATTATCCAAATTTATGCACCAACCACCAAAGCCAAGGGTGCACAAATTGAAGATTTTTATCAACTTCTGCAGTCTGAAATCAACCAAACATGCAATCAAGATGCATTGATAATTACTGGTGATTGGAATAATGTTGAAAACAAAAAAGAAGCATCAGTAGCTGGAAGATATGGCCTTAGTGATAGAAATTATGCCAGAGACTGCATGATAGAATTTTGGAAGACCAACAAATTATTCATTGCAAACACCTTTTTAAAACAATATAACTAGTGACTGTACATGTGGACCTCACCAGATGGAATACATAGGAATCAAATCAACTACATTTGTGGAAAAAGGAGATGGAGAAGCTCAATATCATCAGTCAAAACAAGGCCAGGGGCTGACTGTGGAACAGACCATCAATTGTTCATATGCAAGTTCAAGTTGAAGCTGAGCAAAATTAAAACAAGTCCACAAGAGCCAAAATATGACCATGAGTATATCCCACCTGCATTTAGAGACCATCTGAAGGATAGATATGACTATTAAACGCCAGTGACTGAACCTGACGGGTTGTGGGAGGACATCAAGAACATCATTCATGAAGAAAGCTAAAGGTCATTAGAAAGACAGGAAAGGAAGAAAAGACCAAAATGGACGTCAGAAGAGACTCTGAAACTTGCTCTTGAAAGGAAAGTAGCTAAAGCCAATGGAAGAAATGTTGATGTAAAAGCTGAATAGAAGATTTCAAAGGGAGGCTTGAGAAGACAAAGTAAAGTATTACAATGAAATGTGTAAAGACCTGGAGTTAGAACCCCGAAAGAGAAGAACATGCTTGGTAATTCTCAAAATGACAGAACCTAAGAAAAATTCAAGTCTCCAGTTGCAATATTGAAGGATTCCTTGGAAGGAACATTGGGCAATCTACTTCCATAGAGATACCACCTTGGAAACCCAAGGCAGGGTTCTATGAGTCGAATCAACTCAACGGGAGTGAGTTTGGTTTTTGGTTTATGGGTAAAATATTGAATGATGTAGGAAGCACCAAAAGAAGATGAAAGGAGTACAACAAGAACTGGCTGATATTCAACCATTCCAGGAAGTAGTACAAGATAAAGAACAAATAGTGTTCCCCAGCACTGACAGCAAAGTTCAACATGACAGAAAATAACAAATGCTGATGAGGATGTGGAGAGAGGGGGACTCTCATACACTGCTGGTGGGACTGTCAAATGGTACAACCACTGTGGAAAACAGTATGGCGATTCCTTCAAAAGTTGGAATTAGAAATATCATTTGATACAGCAATCCCATTACTAGCTATATATCCTAAAGAAGTGAGAGCCAGGACAAGAACAGATATATGCTCACCCATGTTTACTCTGGTGGCATAGTGCCTAAAGCATCTGACTGCTAACTAGAAGGCTGGCAGTTCAAACCCACCAGCCACTCCTCGGAAGGGAGGTTGGGCAATCTACTTCTGTAGTGATACCGCCTCGGAAACCCAAGGAGGGGTCACTATGAGTTGGACCGACTTGACGCCACTGAGGGTTTTTTTTTTTTTTATGTTTATCGCAGCACTATTTACAATAGCAAAAAGATGGAAACAACCTACGTGCCCATC